GTCAATTGTAGAGTGGGGGGAGGGTGAGAGGGCAGAGGAAAAAGAGAAAAGAAAAAGAGAAGAACCTGGGGGGGGCTATGTCTTGCCAAAGGCATTTGAGGTGTCAATGAATTTTCCTAGAGTGGTGTGCCCTTTATGGATTCTGAGGATGGTGGAGGGGGACAGGTCCTGAGAGGTGTTGATTAGGAGGTGGTGGTGTTCCTCATATAGAGGGCACTTGGTCAAGATGTGGAGGCAGGACTGAATGACCACTGTGCCACAGGGGCAGGATGAGGGTAGGTCAAGGAGAAATTGGTGGTAGTACTTGCCAAAGAAACCATGGCCAACGATGGCCTGGACAATGCAGGAATGGATATGGTGGGGCCCTCCATATTCCTTGTGGAACTTTGACAGTTGCAAGGTGGGGAGTTTGTGGAGGGCCATGGCAGCAAGGTTGGTGTGGAGGAGGCAGAGCCAATCCTTGTGCCAGCACTTCAGAGTGTGAGCTTTCACATGCTCCAGGGCCCAAGAGGTGGTGGAATGGAGGAAGGGGGTGGAAGTTGACCATCTCTTTTGCAAGGGCATTAGCCTCCTCATTGCCATGGAAGCCATGGTGCCCAGGGATCCAGGAGAGGGAGATGTGGTGGGAAGGGTCAGACAGTAGTGAGTCAATGTGTTTCCAGAATATAATGGAAGTACCTTGGGCAGGGTGGTCTGAGAGGTCATCAATGGACTTCAGAGTGGCTTGGTTGTTGGAGAAACATAGGAAGTGCTTGATTTCAGAAAGGTCAGGGGTGATGATGGGCAAAGCAGTGCAGGTACTTGCTAGGGCAAACATCTCAGCATCATAGATGCCTGTCCATTTGCCCAGGCCAATTTGATGCTTTTGGATGGGGACACCAAGGTGGTGGATGGAGTAGTCAGCACCAGTATGGTATGATGAGGGAGGATGGGTCTAGGTTGGCCTCGTGGATGGTGGACCTGAGTGTCCTGAGGAAAGCGGTGTGTTCTTCAGGGGTGGAGAAAGCTCTAGGGATACCTTTCATGAGGCAGATTCCCTATGAAGAGCAGTGGGAATATGGTGGGGCATAGTATGGGAAGATGTGTTCAGCTTTGGGGCTGGACAGGAAAGCAAGGGGTGAATAATGGTTGGTTGTTGGTGGGGTCTATTAGTGGGGGAGAGGAAAAATCCAGTTGGTTGGTGCTCTGGTGAGGACTTGAGATGAGGCAGGGAGGCACCTAAAATGAATAGCAGCATTAGTGGAAAGTTTGTGGAGCAGATGGGGGATGGGGAGGATGGCACCAATATGGTGCAGTTCCACAACAGGAGATGTGTGAAAGGCACCAAGGCACCACTGGAGGGCTTTGTTCTGGGCTCTCTTGAAGGGTTTCAAGAGGAGCTTTTGACAGAAACCTGTGTATCAGACTGGGGAAGCAAAGGTGAGGATGGGGATGATGACGTGTCAATGTTGAGTCCCAATAAATGTAGTTGGTCAATGACAGTATTGAGGGCATTGGTGAGGAGGGTGGTATTGGTGTCCAGGGAGCAGGACATGGTCAGTAGGAGCACATCATCAACATATGCTTTTAAATTCACATTGAGGAGGTCATCGAGACAGGGAAGGATGAATCCTGAGTAGATGGTAGAGAGGATGGGGGACAGGGGGGAGCCTTGTGGGATGCCAATGCCAGCCAGCAGGAAGGGGTCACTGAGGACACCATCAACATGGATACAGGCCCATCAGTCTGATAGGAAAGATTTGACCACTATGGGGGAGAAACCCAAGAACACGAGGGAGTGGAGCAGGTGTGCATGGTTGACATTGTCAAAATATCCTTTGCTGTCAATAGCTAGGGCAGATGCAACAAGGCTGTTCTGCCAAGCTGTTTGAATATCATGGATGAGGGATATGACACAAATTGAATTTTACTCAATAAAGTTGAATAAACAATTGAAGAATATTCATCAAATACAGATGTCTCATTCAATGAAGTATTAATTCATCCTGTTAATAAAGCATGAGGCAAATATAGGACACAGAGGCTTATGAATAATTAAGTCAAAGAAGATCTCAGAAAATTTCAATGATTATATGTATAATACAGTAATAATAATAATGGTACAGGTTTTCTGACTGACTTTCTTCATTCCTATCATTGCCTTTTATACTATATATCATTTACCTATAATGATAATATGATATCAAAGTGAAATCATCAATGACATCAAACTGAGACAAGTCAAAGATATTTGAGATTGTCAAAAAATAGTTGAGTTGGAAGTTGAGTCGAAAAGTCAAAGGAATGTCAAAGGAAAGTTGAATTGAATATTATCAGAATTTGAGCTTGTATGATCATGACAGGATAGGCAAGCATCAATAACAGAGGACTTATCATGACCACCAAATTGGTTGGTGGGGACAAGGTTGGAGCAGCCAACCTCATAGGTGATGCATGCCACCATTAGCTTCTCCAGTAGTTTACCAAGGCACTTGAGTAATGTGATGGGTCTGTAGGAGCATGGGTTGGACATGTCAGCCTTGCATGGTTCGTTCTGGGATGATGGCTATGATAGCTGTTTTGAAGGCAGATGGGTGGACACCTAGCTGGACACAGGCATGAAGGAAGGAAGTTATCAGGTCAGGGAGGTGGAGGCAGCCCATTTTATGATGGTATGATGAGCCAGAGGTTCCAGGTGTGGAGGAGTTTGAGGTGGAGGAGGAGAGGGTGTCAAGGACCTCAGAGCAGGAGAATGGGGTGAAATCCCATGGAGGGAGGGGGGCTGGGTCAGTTGCAAGGGAGGGGGCTACAGGGGGGGAGTTCTAGGGAAAAAGGCATCAGCGAAGGCATGGTTTTGGGAGGCTGGGGTTAGAGTGTTGCCATGACGAATAGGGGGGGGGGGGGGGGTGCTGTTTTGGTGTTTTCCTGAGGCCCATTGGCACAGGCTCCACACTTCTGTATGGTTGGTTCATTGGATGATGTCCATAGCCTAGTTGCATTTGGCTTTCCAGATGGTGGCATGAAGGTGGCCATGGGCAACATTGCATTGTGGGCCACACGTGCACATGAGGGAGCACATGGCTTCATCACAGGCCTTATTCCACCACTTGGAGTGGGAGGGGGCTTTTCCAGTGCTACAGGGCATCAAAGAGGAGGTGGCTGATGAGAAGGCATCTAGGAGGGCAGAGGCACCTAGTTCGACATCTTGGGGGGTGCAGTAGTCTGCAGGGGGGTTAGTATGTATGGCTTGGGTGAAAGCATGGCACCAGTCAGCATGTAGGGAAGTGTTACGACTGGAATTCCCACCGGACTCCAGGCACTAACTTATACACACCCGTGCCCTATATGCACCCATTATCAGTTTACCGGAATTCCCACCAGACTCCATACGTCAGACTTGTCTACATTCGACTTTGTTATGTTGTGTTTCAGTCACCGGAAAACCCACCAGACTCCATCCCTGTCTATGTCCGATCTCATCCCACGCATCAGTCACTGGACCCCACTTGGAATACCCATCTTCCCTCTAATAGAGCCCCGTTCCCATTTTAGTCAAATGACTTGTCACGATTCGGACTCCGCTCCCGCTCCATTTCCCATTATGGTTTATGATTTGTCACTATTCGGACTCCGCTCCATTCCATCCCATTCCTAACACCAAACTTGGTGTTTACTATTCCTGTTTTATGTTTTGCTCATTTCATTTCATCATTACTGGATTTGGTATGACATTCACTCCATGGTCTATTTAAACTGGCAGATGTTGTACATACAATCCAGTCAGAAAATTGGCTTAGATTCCCCCCAGTAATCTAATACATTTTCCGCTCTAAACTCCTACTTGAATTACATTGCTCATGCTAGTCGGAGCCCATGGGCTCCAGCACATCTATCTCTCTCACCTATCTCGACTAACTTCTTGACTCATGACCTCACGACCCACAACCTCTGACCTATGACTCCCCAACCCACGACCCCCGCCCGGACTCCCTGGGATTCCCGTCTGCCTGTCTGAAATTGGACGACACGATCTAGTGAGGGTGCAGCCTATAAGCTGAAGCCAAGTCCTACCGGATATTCCGCAGGTTTCTCCGGAGACCCGCCATGTACATACCCTAACAGGGAGAGTCAATCCAGAAAGGTTGTTGGGGTTCCTCACAGCAGGGGGAGGGGGGGTTGGGGGGTGGATGAGCCACTGGATGGGGTTGTGGTCAGATGCAGCAGGAGAGTCCGGGAGGATGTCCCAGTCTGAGACCAGGTCACATTCTGCTGTGGGGTAGTTGATCCAAGTGAGGTCAATGATTGTGTTCCCTGGCCCATGCAGGTGGGCTTGTAAGTTAGGAGGGTATAAGTGTTGGCAGAGGTCCATTCAGCAAGGTCACAAGCTGAGGCTGAAGGGTTTCAAGGGGGAGTGTCATTGATGGCCCAGGATAGGTGGTGGAGGTTGAAATTGCCAAGGATGAGGGTGGGGGTTGTAACTGGGAGGTCAGTGTTGAAAAGTGTTTGAAGTGTGGCTAGGTTCCTGTTGGGTCTGGTGTTATATACATTAATGGTAAGGAAAGAGAGGTGATCATAGAAGAAAGAGGTTGGGAGGATGTCTGGAGAGATGAGGAGGTCTGGGCAGGGGAGCAATGTGAGGTGCACAGTGTTCTTGCAGACATATGTGACAACTCATGGGGTCTGGTCCAGTGATGTAGGTAGGAGGAAAGCTTTCCAGGCAGGGCATGAGACTGTGCCCTTGATGGCGATGCCAGCCAGGTCAGAGAGGGAGTGGCCTGTGCCAATCTTGCCCTACCACAGTTCATGTAGGAAGAGGATGTCATAGTCAGTGGAAGTATTGAGGATGTAGTGCATGCATGTGTTGGTGTTAGATTTGGAAATACAATATCTATTAGAATATTCAAGCTGTTATAAGTCCCAAGTAGGAATCAGTCCAGATGTGACTGTATGAGTCCCAGTGTTGCATCAGAAGGACCTATAGAATATATATATATAATCATATTAAAGGTATAGAAAAGAATTGACCCAGCCTGGGATTGAACCAAGGATCTCTAGCTTTATATGTGCTCTAAACCACTGAGCTACTGGACCTATTGGTCTAGTGTGATATAATGGATTATATATATATATATTCTGTAGGTCCTTCTGATGCAACACTGGCACTCATACAGTCACATCTGGACTGATGCCTACTTGGGACTTATAACAGCTTGAACATTCTAATAGATATTGTATTTCCAAATCTACCAGTTGGAGCATGCCACATTGAGTTGGAGGCATCATATTGGGTGGGAGGTCATTAGTTGATGATGATATCAGGGTCAGAGGGGGGCTGGTTGAGAACTGGGAGGGGGCCTGGGACATGGAGGGGGGGACTGCATATTTGTGGCACTCAGGGCAGCCAATGGAGTCAGCCGGGTGAGGACCACCTGCAATTGACATACCTATGAGTGTGGGGGCAGTTTTGGTCTGCTGGGAGGTTGGCTGTCTTGCATTCACAGCATTTGGAGCAGTGGTTTGCTTTGGAGTGGTCACTGCAGAGGCGGCATTTTGGGTGGGATTTACAGAGAGATGTGGGATGGCCGAGGGACCAACAGTTGGAGTACTGGTGGAGCTTGGGTTTTTCAACCCAGTATTTAGCAACAATAGGGGCCACAAACATGAAGAATTGTGTTTTGAAAGCTTCTTGAAGGAGGGAACTATCTGGGTCTTCAAAATCTAACATCATGGAGGACTTGAGGCCTGAGATTGAATCAGGGGCCTGGATCCAGGAGGGAGGTTGGGTAAGTGCAATCTTGGAGGCAAAGGGTAGTTGATTGAATGAGTCAAGAAGGTCAGCTTTGGTGAGAACAGCACCATTGGGGAATTCACAAGCAAGGACACCAGCCAGTATGATCTTGGACCAGCATGTGTTCTGTCACAAACATATGTACAAGCTCAAATTTCGATAATATTCAATTTAACATTTCTTCAACATTCCTTTGACTTTCCAACTCAACTTCCAACTCAACTATTCTTTGACAATATCTTCGACAATCTTAAATATCTTTGACTTGTCTCAGTTTGATGTCATTGATGATTTCACTTTGATATCATATTATCATCGTAGGTAAATGATATATAGTATATAAGGGCAATGATACGAACAAAGGAAGTCAGTCAGAAAACCTGTACTATATTATATTATTTACTGTATTATATAATCATCGAACTTTTCCGAGATTTTCTTCGACTTATTTATTCATGAGCCTCTGTGTCCTACCTTTGCCTCACGCTTTATCAACAGGACGAATTAATACTTTGTCAAATGAGGCATCTTTATTCAATATTGTTGAATATTCTTTGATTGTTTATTCAACTTTATTGAGTAAAATTCAATTTGTGACATGTCCCAGGAGATGGTGAGGTTGGCACCAAGGTTTATAGCCTCCCTGATGGACAGAGTGTGGGTGGAAACAAGGGCAGGGGAGGTGAAGGAGGGAAGGTGATTATGAGGTTACCAGCCAAGTTCTGGTGGGTGCCAAGGGCCTGGAGGCCACATGCTGTGGGAATGGACTTGAGTTTCACATTGATCCTTCTCGAGAGGATGAGAGGGGGGAGGCAGTCATTGATGGGAGGGTTGCCTCTGAAATGGACCATGAAGTGAATTGGTGAGGGGGGTTTAGGTGTGGATCATTTAGGGGTCTTGGGGGTTGGAGGGGCTGTAGTGGGCAGGTTGGCAGTGACTGCAGCATAGGACAGGGGGCCAGAGAGGGCTAGGTCAATATTTGGTGTTCCAAATGTGAGAGCTGGGCCATGATTGAGTCTTGGAATTGTTGGGTAGTGTGTGATGCTGCAGTCCAGGGCAGGTGGAGGAGAAGGTGTCCTGGGGAGGTTCAGCTGGCCAGGCATGGGCATTCTTTGATGCTCAGCTGAGGTATGCATGGAGTTTGGAGTGGGCATTGGTGGTAGGAAGGTCATCAACAGACTCCCTGTGGATGGGATCTGAAATAATATCTACCAGGCTAAGGCAGAAAGTGACCCACCTGGAAACTGGGTCCTCCACAGTGGAGGGGTCAGAGTAAACATGGGTGGGTTTTACTATGGCATCGACGGTGCATGAAAGGAAGAGTTGGAGGTCAGTGGGGGTATATGGCTCAGCTGGAGGAGGTGTGAGGCTGGGTGGGGGGATTGTGAAGAGGTCATCAATAGATGTGGGCAGGGGTAGGTCTTCATCCATGTCATGGCCAGGGCCAGGGTTGTGGACAATTTTTGCCTTCTTTTTTTTTTGGAACTAGGAGGAGAGATGGTGGTGAGAAGTGACTGCCATGTCACATGTCACATGACCATCTCTTTTTTTTTAATACATTTATATACCGCATCTGAGTCGATATTCTGATTGCCTAGTAACTACAACTACAGCGGGTTCATATACAAGTAACAGGCATCTAGAAAATACTAATGGGGAGAAGGGCGGAAAACGGCATTAACAATAAGCTTGACTAGGAATGGGAAGTGTATGATTAGTTCGGAGGCCAATGATAACCGAGAGCGGGATTACGATAAAAGGAAATAGTTCAAGGACTACAAATATAGATAGACATATGTGAAACATAAGATTGAACGGATCAACATAATAAAAGGGACGTATCAAAAGTTTGACCAGACAATACGAGTTATTTTGATGTGGGCGTAAAAGGAGTTTGATCTTCATGAAAACATACGTCAGCTTCGGGGCCGATGGTTTCCGAGATGGTGACTTGAAAATGTTGATAAGTGATGATAACCTCGGGGCCGATAGGGTTGCGACATGGTCATAACAGTATCTCCCCTTTTGGCCGAAATCCCAAGGAGGCCAAAAATCTAGATCCCATACGTAAAAACTTGTCGGGTACGGCTGGGTGTGTCAAAACATCATGTGACTCAGCAAAATTTTGCATATAAAAATTTGAGGGGTCCTGGTGCTTGAAATTTTACTTCCTTTCCCTTAACCACCATGACCATAGGCTCGGGGTCGAACCCCTTCCCAGTTAGGTTAACAGTCACGCCCATGTCGGTCCTGAGTGGTACGGCGAATGTGCAGGAGCGTCGGTGTATACTCGAGCAGAAGAAAAAGGCACGTGAAGAGGAGGAGTGAAAGGAGAAGGAGGAGTTGGTGGCCATCGAGGCCGAGGAGAAGAAACAGGCAGCGGAAGAGGCCACGTGCAAGCACTGGGAAGCAGTGCTTGCAAAGAACAAGCAACAGGAGGCTGATCGGGCGCGGGAGGAGGCGACAAAAAAGAAGTGGGAGGGAAAGGTAAGTCGCTCCGGTATCTTTTGCGAACCTTACTGACATATATTTGTTAGCGCAAGGCTGTGACGCCTTCGGAGTCGGATGATGAAGAGGGAGAGGAGGACGAGGAGGATGCACCGGGGCCGTCGAGCCCCAAGGTGGGTTTGGTTTCCCTAAATAAAAACTTTCCTAAATAATTTTCCTATAGAAACAAAAGCGGGCCCCCAAGGCGGGGCCCGAAAATGACCCTAAGTGCAATTGGTGCACGAAACGGGGTCGAACCTGTCATCCCCAGGCCAATGGTCGGGGCTGCACTTGTCAAGAGTGTGCCGATCAGAAGCTTGGGTGTGTCTTCCCGGGGGCCGATGGTTCGTTCCAGGAGCGACAGGCTGATGCTCTAGAAGAGCAAAACTGCCTTATGTGGACATACTTCTCGGAGATGAGTCGGTTCCAATACGAGACTCTGCGACATCAAGGGCTCATGACTGAGCAGTTGCGACTTTTGGGCGTCGGGCTGGAGAAGCAGACCAGCATTATCGAGTCTCTTGGAGGTCAGCTTGAGCAATACTTGGAAGTCTCGAGTTGCAATGGAATTGGGCACAAGATTGGGGTGTCAGAAAAGGTCAGTGGTGCGGTATCGGTGGCTGTCGGTGCAGGGGAGGGTTTGGAGGCCGGAGAGGAGGGAGAAGTTGTAGAAGAAAGAACTTAGATAGTAAATATATATTTTTTAAAACAAACAAATAATAGCGTGAAATCATAAGGCATAGTCGGGAAAAGGTCGGGTACCACGTGATAGACTTATAAAGAATTGAGAGGACCAGGTTTGTTCGGATAAGCTTGGTGAAACCCTAAAACGATTTCCGAGGCATTACTGAGCTTGGTAGCTAGGATCCATGAAGTTTCTTCATCTGTTCCTTCATAGCCAGCCCATTTGACCAAATAAAGTAATTTGCATGAGCGTCGGCGATTGTCGATTTTTGAGTCTAGAATCTCTGATATCTCAAATCCGGGTTCCCCATCAATAATCACGGGTGGAGGTGGTGGTTGTATGTGATCCGGTATACTGTTAGGAACACAAGGTTCTAACATAGATACATGAAATACCGGGTGCACTGCACGCATGTTGTCGGGGAGCTGAAGCATCCATGAAAGCGTGCCGGCTTGTGCTATAACTTCAAAATGACCTAAATATTTTTCAGAGAGCTTCTTAGAGGGTCTAGTAGTTCAGAAAAACTCGGCTTTAACGAATACTCGGTCTCCGATCTTAAAGTCAGGAGGCGGAAGTCAGTTCTTATCTGCAGACCGTTGGTATCGTTCTTGAGCCATTGCGATAGTTTTACGAAGTTCTTGATGTAGCTCGTCAAGGTTTATAACAAAGTCTTGAGCACAGGCGGATGCGAGATCACGTTCCGGGTGGATTGCGATGTTGGGGTTGTAGCCTTTATTTGCGAAGAAAGGCGAGATGCCAGTAGTGGCATTTGGTGCATTGTTATATGCGAATTCGGTTAGTGGTAGTAGTGATTTCCAATTGTCTTGTTGGTAGTTGCAATAGACACGGATGTATTGTTCCAAGGTTTGATTCATGCGTTCGGTTTGGCCATCACCTTCCGGGTGATAGCCGGAAGTGAAGTGTAGCTTCATGTCTAGTGCTTTCCCGAGTGACCTAAAAAAGTGAGAGACAAACTCGGATCCACGATTGGATGTGACATGCGATGGAACGCCATGCTTGGAAAATACATGGGTGACGAATAGTTCAGCTAACTGTACAGATGTTATCGTGTCATATGTTGGAATGAAAATACTTTGTTTTGTGAGCCAATCCACAACAACTAGGATTGCT